AATTTTTAATTATACTCTTATTGATTAAAGAGAGATAAATATATGGAAGACGAGGTTGTTCTGTTTTTTATGCAAACTCACGATAATTATAAGAATAACATTAAAACTATAAGAGAACAAAATTCATTGTCCTGTAATTATTTTTTGATTAAGACATTGTCCTGTAATTTTAATTACATTTGAGTTTCATTTTCTCATCATTTCAAGCTGGCTGGCTGGCTGGCTGGCTGGCTCAAGTCTGGCTCCTCATCATCGCTGCAATTTTCCTCGGCCTTCGCATCATTCACAATTCAGAATTCCCAAACGCACAAGTAAAGTTAAAAACAAAATTATTTTTAATTTTTCAGTGTCTGTTTCTTTTTTCCCCCCTTCTCCCAGAGAAGCACAAAAACAGAGAAGCTGAGTCCGGAATGATTGAGAGAGTTGAACCCCACCGATATCCGAACCGGTTCATCTCGCTCTCCACTTCTCGGCTCGAAACTCCTCCCCCAACCTGTCACCGGTTGTCGTTGCCGGGTTTCCGACTTGATTGAGCAACCACTGATATCGTACTCATAGAATCGATAGGTTTGAGCGTTTCTGTTTTGCATCTTCATCGATCTGTGTATGTTCTAGCTGTGGATCTGAGAATTTTTGGGAGGGGGAGGTATAGGAGTTGCATAAAACGATGCCGTCTCACGCGGATCTGGACCGTCAGATCGAGCATCTGATGGAGTGCAAGCCTCTGCCGGAGGCAGAGGTGAAGATTCTGTGCGATCAGGCGAGGGCAATACTGGTGGAGGAATGGAACGTGCAGCCGGTGAAATGCCCCGTGACTGTGTGTGGTGATATACACGGACAATTCTACGATCTTATCGAGTTGTTCCGGATAGGAGGGAATGCTCCGGATACCAATTACCTATTTATGGGTGATTATGTTGGTGAGTCTTCGTCTAATGAATTGCCCTTTTTGAAAATTTGATGGCTTGATTTGTCTCGGTGATAGGCTTTTCGTTTGTTTATCTTTTCAATAATTGTTCATTTATTGGTCGGATGAAGATTGAAAAAAGAAAAAAACAACGAAGAAAGGAAGAGAGAGCTCCATATCGTGGTTACCGTTCCCGCCCTTCTCTTTTGAAGAGCAAAAATTAAATGTCAGGATTCTGTTTCTTCATTGTTTTGTTTGTTGATGTTCGGTATATAAGTTGAAGCCTCTGAGAATGATATTCTCAAATCTGTGCCCTTCAATTTTGTTTCTGATGTTGTACGAGGAAACTTCTGTTGCAAGAAGCCGAGAACTCTTAACTGCAATCATGCGTATGAAAATTATCATGACATGATCGTTAAAATATTTTACTTTGTGCTCTAGCTATGAGAGTACTACATTTAGGATTTAGCTAGATTCCCCGTATAGCTTCTCGATAATTAAGTGGTCGCACTGTATGATATATACTGAAGTCATATCCTGGTTTGAACCAGTTTTGAACTGTAAAGTATCAACATGGACCCAGGATGTTATGAAGCATGAAATGAGACAAGAATTGCATGACATATAATTATATTCGTACATAAAATATTAATGTATATGGGTCTCAAAAAGAAAGTATTAATGTATATCAGAATGGAAATTTGGAACATCAAGGAGCATATTAAGATTAAAATATGCCTTATACATGTATGATATGGCCTACATGTTTATAAGGACCTAATAAGTGTCTATTGTCCGAATAATTTTCTCTTTTGTTCTTTCAGTTCTTAACGGTACTATATAGGTGGACTTTCCTATGTGACAGACATGGACATTTCTACTGTCTTGCAGTGTTCCTGCTTTATTATTTCAAAATAAGGTTCTAGCTGGTAATGTCCCACCAGTTTAGACTAGACTTATTGCTAAGTATAATAAACTTGTTTGTTTCTAAATGTGAAATGTGTCCTACATATCATGTTTATAACTCTGAAGCCGCATGAAAGTGCCAAATTATTGTAACTTTGCATCGATGATGAGTGCTTTGAGAATGAAAGTATAGTAATTAAGTCTTCTTGTGGGAGCTTGCCTACAACTTGTACTATAGGGTTGTTGGAATTGAAGAAATGTTATGATGTCATAAATGAGTAATGCGCAAAGAATTGTGTTAGTCATGAATCTCTCTTATACTGTGACTTCCCAAATGTTGTTAGTTTATATATCATATGAATCAAGGTTTGAGGATAGTGGTGTTCAGGTCTATAAAAGTGGTGGTGATAAGATGAAACAAAAAATAAGATTTTTTATCAACTCATGGAGAAGCTCTGCAACGACACTCAAGTCATTCCTTTGACAACGTATCTTGGGAACATTAGGGGAACCATGTGATGTGTTACTGATATTGAGATTTTTAACCATGCATCACAGTATGTGACTTGTATGAAAAGTTCTTTGCCTTTTCTGGGCTCTACTCTAGAGTCGGAGAGAGGATGTGGGAGATATCAGCTTCAATGTTATCAGATAGTACTGACTAACACTAAGGAGTCTTAGCTATATGTTGCTAGATTTTGTCATTACTACTACTTTTTTGCGTATCACTACAGTACTTCTTTAAATGATGTTGAAAGCATTGAAAATCACATCAATGAAACTGCTTGCATTTCCTTATCGATCATTGTATTGGGTAAATTTCTGCAGATCGTGGTTACTATTCAGTGGAGACTGTTACACTTTTGGTGGCCTTGAAAGTTCGTTATAGAGATAGAATTACAATTCTCAGAGGAAATCATGAGAGCCGGCAAATTACTCAAGTGTAAGATTGCATGAGCACTCTGGCCTTCATAGTAATCTGGGTTTTATGATGTATAGGACAGTTTGGTGTATAGGCTTAGAAACAGCAGCTTGGTTTAACTAATTATAGCGTTACAACATCTTGACAAGACAAAAGGGCATATTTATATTAATACCGGATAGTCAAAACTCTAAAAAAAAAAAAAGAATTCAATATCAAAGTGCATTTATTTTCTAGAAATGAATTGGATGCACCGATGTCAAGAAGCATTACATTTGAAAGGCACTCTTAAGTCATGCCTAGTGAAAATATTGTGCAGAAGCCTGAAGCCTGAGGGCATCTTTTGGTGGATAGAATTTATGACTTGACATCTGTTAGTACCAGCAATATTTGGTTGGAAATATAGTAGGGAAGAATGAATTCTTTTTCAGCACAAAGACAATTTTTTTAGTATGATTTTTGTTTGTTAACTCACCAATGCATCTGTATTTTTTGCCTTCTATTTTCAGGTATGGCTTTTATGATGAATGTTTGAGAAAATATGGAAATGCTAATGTCTGGAAGTATTTTACCGACTTATTTGATTACTTACCTCTGACTGCACTTATTGAGAGTCAGGTTTGATTTAATTAGATTGCACAACTTTCTTCTGAGTATTCCTATGCCAGCCAATAACTTTTATGTATGTTGTAGATTTTCTGTTTGCATGGAGGTCTCTCACCTTCTTTGGATACACTGGATAATATCCGGGCCTTGGATCGCATACAAGAGGTATGTGTTACTAAAGACTAGTTTGACTCCTGTGCATCAGCTTATGTGATATGGTATTGAGAACCATTTAATATTAAGCCATGTACTATAAAGATTGCTATAATGGAAACATGAGCTAAAGATTTGCTCTTATTGTTTGGTATATGTTTTGAGAAATAATCTGTGTGATGTTGAATAATTGCCTGCTTCTCTTTGCACTTGGTCTTGTGCCTACCATGTTATCAACCGTGATAGGTGCCCAAAGAATTTCAGCTGTTCCATTTTTTGGCTAACAATGTGATGCCACTTGCAAACATTCATATCTAAACCAGTGTTGAAGTTAATTGGATGCCTAGCAATTGTTAAACCTAGGGTGCTTGACATTGTGCTTATACATTGCAGGTTCCTCACGAAGGACCAATGTGTGATCTCTTATGGTCTGATCCAGATGACCGTTGTGGATGGGGAATATCTCCTCGTGGTGCTGGATATACATTCGGGCAGGATATAGCTGCTCACTTCAATCACACCAATGGTCTTTCGTTGATATCTAGAGCCCACCAGCTTGTCATGGAAGGTTACAATTGGTGCCAGGTCCATGAATGATCTTTGTGATATGTATAATTTTATTTTCTGTTTGGTTTTGGGGTATTTTCTCCATTTCCTTATATTGACTTTTTTAAATTGATGGGTTTTTAGGACAAGAATGTTGTGACCGTATTTAGTGCTCCAAATTACTGTTACCGATGTGGAAATATGGCTGCAATACTGGAAATTGGAGAGAACATGGATCAGAATTTTCTGCAGTTTGATCCAGCACCCCGGCAAATCGAGCCTGACACTACAAGGAAGACCCCGGATTATTTTTTATAATTCCATTTATCTTCCAGCCGTTTGTAGTTATTGTTTTCTGCTGTTACTGTAGATGTGTTGTTAAGAGGAGAGGAGTTTCCCTGTTTAATGTTGGGTTATCATCAACATATTCTTTCTTTCGGAATTTGCCTGCTGATGCTGCTGCCTTTTGCACAAGAAACCTATGGGAGAACTGGCGGCCATGAATTAGTGTTGTATATTTTTGAGGAGGAAGCAGCGATAACATGGTATATCTCGTGTAATTTTTTTTAGTATCTCAAGTTAGAGAGGATATTTTTGGGATCTGACAGTCATGTTGATTTGGGACTTCCCCATCGTGCCACATGAAAGTGCAGGTTTTTATTTCACATAACATCGTATCCCTGGTACTGAGGGTTGAGTAGTAACAGGTGCATTGGAGATACACGAAATATAATTTCCAGACAGATTGAAGCGATGTCATTGGATATAGTTGATGTCCGTTTGAAGCCGATTTGATGGCATTATTTGTTCGTATAATGTCCCGTGTCCAGTTTGAACTGAGTCGTGAGGAATGAGGAAAGCGAAAATGTTCATTGATGTTCCCTGGAGATCCAATTAGGTTCGTAGCTATATCAATCTGCTAGGAAAGAAAATCCTATGGCACACTGTCGTTTTAGATATTCTCGGTCTTCCACAGTTCCAGATCGACCCATTGTAGAAGATAAAACTGAGAAATACGAATGGCATGTTTTCTTTTCTTTTGGGGGGCCTTAATGCATGTGGCACAAGGGGGACGTGATTCGTTTTGTGAATTAAAATTTAATTCAGATTTTAAGTATATGTTATCAAATTTTTATTAACATGTTAAGTAAATGTTCTTTACACCTCCCTGACTCTCTAAACTGGCTCTTTCCCATGACAGATGCCAGCCATCATGTCAACGGGAAAAACCTTGTAACAAACAATTAAGGAATTTTACCTCAAATCCAAAACAGGTCCATCCTATCATATTTGAATCTTACCATAATTAATGTGAATATTTAGCCTCTACAGAGAACCATGCAGCATCCATTTTCACCTCTAGTTTTCTCTGATAGATGCAGTTCTGAGTTTTGGTCGCTACAAAAGTTTGATTGTAAAAGCTTGAACATGGAGAAAATAGTATCATAAAACAGGTTTATGTGTCAAAACCGACAGCTCATCTGAACCCTTCCGGCTGCAAAAGCCGATACCGAAGCTGCCTTCTTTTTCCTCAGCAATATGATTGATCCACTAACGAGAAATAAAAAAATCACGATCCCCTGTCCAATGTGTTTCACAAAATATATGAACACTAACACGCCGTCTTGTCTACTACTGTCTGAGAACTAATCACCAAATAAATTCGTCATGATTAAAAAATTAACCAAAAAAATAAATTGAGACCTAATCTGAAGATGATAAGCAGAATCCCCGGCCCAAAAGAACAACAACGAAAATACTTCTGAGAATAGCCAACCAAAGCAATCCTTCCAAAATAGTTCAGTTTCTAATACTACATCAATACTACATGAAGATCATGAGAAGTGAAATCAAATCCAGCAAATTGTAAGCCTAAATCACATTTAACTCCATTGAATTCCTTTTAAAAAAAAAAAAAATCCATAGAACGTAGAACCCCATGACCTTTAACCGCCAACCACCTTAGCCAAAGCCAAGTAGCATTAACATTGTCAAATTCCGATAAACAAGGAGATTGCAATCCGTCTGACGTCAGTAGAAAACAAACCGATAAAACCAATCAAAATGATGCCATCAATGAGTTAGTAATAATGCCTGACAACTCACTGCAGGATAGTTCTAATTAATGCAGACTTCCATCCTTGGAAAAGGTAGATGGGAGAATGAACAAACCATTGATATATAGCATTCAATGTCCTTTCAAGGTTTTGATTCCAGCAGGATAGATACCTGCTCAAATAGTATGAAGATCAGGCAAAGCACCTGAAGCATCCTTTGACTTGGAGGCACTAATATATCTATGAGATATGCTAGTGGCTTATACTCAAAATGTAAACTCAATGTGCATTAGCAAAATTACCACAATTAGCATAGCATAGGTCGTGGAATGGTCCTTGACCAAGTCTACATACTTAAATTTGGAGAGTTGTGCACTTGACAATTAATTGAGTGCTTGGTCAAACTCACTGGAAATGTTTCGGAATACAGCTGGGAAGTTCTCTTGTGAAATATTTACCAGAAGAGAGCAGGCTCACTGACTCATTGATGTTAAAATATATAGGTCTGTACACACACATGCAGAGATGGAGGCAAGTGTATAGTGGGGAAGCGCCCCACTATAAATTAGAAACTGAATTTGGGCTGGCCCTCTTTCACCCCAATCATGAAACCCAGAAGAATCTAGGAGATACAAGCCCATCTTTGTTAAACCCAACCATCTCTCAGCTAAAAGTGCCCCCCCCCCATCAAAAAAAAGGCTCCATCCTTGCGCACATCAACTGGCCTGCAGCTATGATCCTTTAATATGGTTGTTTTTGATTTAACAACAGAATATGACCCACCCACTGTATGATTTGATTTTGCCAATCAACCAAGTGCAGAGGCCAATAACAAAAAATAATATTAAAACCAACACCTGAAAACTGAAAATTACCTCAAACCTAAGCACTGACAACTTCTCTTCGGTAGCTGGGAGTATACAGCTTCGATAGGTAATGTAGGCCCGTGATTTATTATCTGAAGCGAATGAATCATCTACTAAACTTCTATGTTTCACTGAAGTAGTAAACTCTCTGGCATCATGTAATGCATTATTCAATTTGTCCATTTTGTCAGAGATTTCCAAAGACAATCGAGCATTTTGAGAATTTGTCCTCTTTGAATCTTTCATAGAAACTTTAATTTCTATACATTTGAATGGGATATGGTAGCCAGTCTCACTACAGCGATATTTGCTGTCACCCTACAAATCCAAAAGCAACTTACAGATAAAGAGCACAGGAAAACAGAAAAGGAAAAGATACTCCTTTTCTTTTTTGGTATAAGAAAAAGATACTCCATTTGGATTAAAAAAAAAACACACACACACACAAAAGGGCATGCAATAAGATATATTACACTGTTCTACAAGTAGACTTGAACAGTGGTTTGAAACTACTTTTTTTTTTCAAGAGCTTTGAAAGCTTACATAACTACTTTTGGGAGGGGATAACTGAAGAGCATGGATTTAAAGTCCCATATCACAAAGTCATCATGTTGTGCAACTCTCCAATTCCACATCAGTATTTGGCTTAATAAAGACTGTCACGAAATTAGTCATGACAATGTTTAATTTTCCCATGTTTAAACAAATTGAACTTGTCGCAAATGAATTTATAGCTCATCAATATCTACTAGAAAAATCAGAAACTTGAATCAGTTCAGATTCCTAGCAGAATTTATATATCTCATCCACCTTCAATCCCACAATTGGATTGATGATCCAGCTAGCTGCAAAATGAAATGGCTAAACTAATGCAGTCGAGTTCATTCTTAGGGCCATATAAGAAAACATAATCACAACTTTCACAAGCAACACATGTGAGCATTTGCAGCAATGAGCAGATGCTTCAGATGTAGCAGGCCAAAAAAAAAAAAAAAAACGAGAATTACATTCGCATAGATTGAATCGCAACCAAGTGCATTACATTTATCCTATTCCTATATAACATGACCAACAATAACTAAAACATGATTTGGCACAGTGAGTGAAACTGCAAGCTACTTGCGCTTGATCTGAAACACTTCACGTTGTCCAATAAACATACTGCCTGTATGTACTTGCTAAACAACCTAATATCTTACACATGCACATCTATTAAGACCATGCAAGTTAAAACTCATCCGCGACAATTCACGTAATAAATACACAAACGGGCAATCCCAAGCACTCAAAACTATCTTTCCGGACAAAAAACCATGGGATCAAGCACAAATTCATGCTCTAAAAGGAACAGAAAGGCAACCTTCTCAGAGTAAAGGCAATTGACGCAGAGACCAGAAGGAGAGCATTCAAAGGTAATGTTGCTTCCAGCCGGCTTTTCCTTGAAACTCAATAGAACTCTGCCCTTTACATGATGAGTTTCACCGCTTCTCCAATGGCTGCCCAAATTCAAACAGTTAAAACCAGAAGAAAACGTCACAAAAACAGCGCCTCAAAATTATCATGAAGATCATGAATTAGGAGGGTAAGAGATTACTTCCGGTGCCCCACAGCGAGAAGGAGAGCTTCTGAGTCTGGAGCGATAGGAAGGCAGAAGAAGAGGACCAGAAGAAACGATCGTGAGTTCGCAGATACCGTCGCCATAATTGGCACTTCTCTTCCTCCGATTTGATTATAATTTCTGGATCCAGATCACCCTCAACAAGTTCCCCTGAATCACTGTGCTAAAATCGCAGCTCTCGACCCAGATCTTTGGATTTTCATTTTCCTAGACATGCGATTGGCATCTCACGATAAAATTCTAACATATTCTTTAGATAAAAACTCAAAAATTGTAACATTAATTATAAAATCTTCTCTCAAATCTTAAACTTGTTTTGAAAGAAAAACAGAGCGTCATAGGTATATTCGCTCAGACTCATTTTTTAAAGTTGCGAATACTTTCATTTGACAAGACATAGTTTTTGGTGGTAGAAAAGAATACCACAAAACGAGAAAAAATTAGAACGTCAAATTATCATTTTTACTGTAGGCAAAACTTAGGCACTTAAGTTATGTCCTTAATATACTTTCCTCCAACATATTATTGCCACTTGGATTTTTTTTCTAGCTCACCACTTAAATTTCTTTAACAGAGTTTTCCATCGCTGGCTATCAAAAATGGAAAGAAGATAAATAAACCTAATTTCTTGTCTCAATTAATGCTCGAAGATTTTGATCCTCACCTAAGTAACCTCCATTGCCAATGCAACTTTTCCATGACACCATTCTTCAGCTTCCGTTGTCTGAGGATCGCAAGAATTGTTTGGGGTAAAAAGGAATTGACAAGTGGTGAGAGAGGCAGGAGCTTAGAGCAAAATTTAAGGGGCTACAACATTTATGCTTATATGAGCAGAGCATGGAAGAGAATGAATCTAATGTTAGAGTTTTCGTGTGAGCGTCAAGACGATTCAACATGATTATAGTGAGATTAAGATGAAGAATGAAGATGAACGTGACAGTGTGTGAATTTGCAAGTGAAATTTTAAGGGAGGGGAAGTTTGGTTTTGAAGGGGTAGAGAGAATGAAGAGGGAGGAGAAAAGTTTGGCTGAAAAACAAAAAGGTTTCACGATTCAAAAATTTGCAGCGTTAATTGAGACAAGAATTAAGTTTTGATTTATTTTCTTTCCATTTTTGATAGTCAATGGTAGAAAACTCTATTAACAAGAGTTAAGCAAAAAGTTGGAAAAAAAAAACATCATGGTGGCAACAATACATTGGAAGAAAGCATATTAAGGACATAAACTTAAATACCTAAGTTTTGCCCTTCAACTATTGCCATCTTCCTGAAAAAGCAAGAATTTTATTAAAGGAAGTAATTGAAAAATTAATGTCCATTAAAAAAAGTAGCATTAAATAGAATCAAATGAAATTTATCAGAGCTCTAATTGGATTGAAATTGATGACATGGTGCAATTCAGAATCACTAGTGAATAAGGGTGTTCAGTCTGGACCCATTTTGATTGGCCTGGTATCGTCCCGATCATATCAAGACGGGTCTTGTCCTGGTTCGAAAATAATTGGGACGGGACTTTACGGGACGGGACAAAAAAGAGATTCGAGACGGGGCGAGACACGAGATTACTATCGGGACATCCTATCTCATCCTAAATATTATATATATTATTTTTTATTTTAAATATATTAATTATATTAATATAATTTATACTTATATTAATTATATAAATTATAATTTAATACTTGCAATTCTTATTTAAAACTAAAATTTTTTTATATTGATAATTTTAATGACATGGAGTAAACATGGCGATATCTTTCTTTATAATATATTAATTATATTAATATAATTTATTTTTATATCTATTTATTTAATAACTTTTATTTATAATATATTTCTTGCTTTATTTTTAAAAGAGTAATTAGCTTAGCATATCTTCACTAAAGTAGAAGAACAATGATTTGATGTTATGTTTAACTTGCTTATTGTTGCTAATCTTATAGCATTAAAATCACTTGTATTTGTTATTATAATGTGTAGTTGTAATTAATATAATTCAATAATTAATTTTAAATTATTATTATTTATGTACTTGTGTTGTTTTGATTTTAAATTTAATAAATTATATGATTTAAAATTTTAATAAACATTATTATTCATATCTTTTTTCGATATTATTCCATTTATCGGGATGATGGGACGTCCCAATCTTATCCCGGTCCCGTCCCAACTCTTAACGGGATAGGTTAACTTTCGAGACGAGACGAGACACGGGATCAAAATTCAATCCTGATCTTTTTTACGGGACGAGACACGGGATAGGGGTGTCCCGATCCCGTCCCGTCCTGTGAACACTCCTACTGGTGAAGATGCAGAAACTAGCCTATGTCCTAAGATTAGGCTCTCAAAATGACTTGGCAGAGTGGCAAGTTGTTTTCTCCTATCTTATGTTCTCAAGGAACGCACTAGCACACTGCACCCCCACTTTGTAAAGCTAAGCCATTGCTGGGAATCCCATACCGTTTACATTCTGTGGCGCTTTTTTAAGAGATTGTCTACAACTTTTCTTCCCATTCATAATACAAGGAGCTTTATCATATTTTCTAATAACTTGGAAGTTTTTATCCATAAATTTCCATACATTAAAATTTGTAAAAAAAAAAATGTAATAGTTCTCACCCTATTTTTTTGGAGGTCTTTTGGACTAGACTCTAATACTCCTCACAAAGCTTAAGCTGGCTTTCTTTAAGGTGATACTTGAATTATTCCTCAATGATATTAGATTTAACCTCAATTTTCTTAAGGTGGTAGATGTTGGAAGTTCAAGTTTGGGAAGGTTTCAAAAGACCTTTTTGATGGGGTGAGAAATAACCCAAGTATCACCTTGAAGAAAGCCGGCTTGGGCTCTGTGAGAAGTATTGGAGCTCAGTCCAAAAGACTTCTGGGAGGGTGGGGTGAGGACTATTAAAAAAAGGAGTAATTAATTGATTATGCTTTGAAAAGGAGTAGACGCAATACTAAACTAGTTGCCTCTGATAAATGGAGTTAATCTTAAAAGTGGAATATTGAGTTACTTTCATATATGTGTTGTAAAATCCTGTGTTTCCGTACATAATATTTCATTATAAAATGTACTAAGTTATTAGAGCAATCAACATTTTAACCTAAAATACCCTTATGAGTGTATTAAAATTAGCTACCTTCTGATGAAGAGAAATCATGTAATTTCTTCGACTCCCTTCTCATTCAACATCCTCTCATGGTATTAACTTATTCTTCAAAACATTGACTTCCTTCTTCATGTATTAATTTTATTCAGCCTATCCCAAAACAAACCTTTGATATTTTGTGAAAGAATTTTTGGGCACATAAAAGTGGGATTTGTCATTTATGCTTGTGAAAAAAAATCGAGATAAATAAGAAGACAAAAATTGTTGTGAACAACACTGTGATAATTCTTGGGTATGGCGATAAAACTAGAGGCATTAATTTGAAGCAAGCTGGATGAGTTAGCTTAAACAAGCCTAAAAAAATTTAGGATCAAGCTTGAGAATTTAAAAGATTTTTTTTATTCCAAGCTTATTCAGGCTATCCAAATAAACTAAAGAAATTAGGGCCAAGCTTGAATCTAAATAAGATAAAAATTAAAAATATTAATTTTTTAAAATAAAAATTAAAATTACATAAAAATAAATAAAATAATATTTAACAATTTAGGTATTCATTCCAACCCAAATAAGCATGAAAGCTTAAGGGGTTAGAGCCAAGTTTGGCTATATAAGCTTTTGTATAGGTTAAGATATTTTAAACTTGGTCCAAATAAGCCTAACCCATTTAAATTATCGGCTCTAGATAAAACTAGCATACCTAATATCCCGTAGGTGATATTAATAACGTCTTCCTAATTGTATCACAAATGTTTTCAATAAACCTATCAAAGAATCATTACAACCCCTTTCTGTAATATCTTGGAAATTTTTAAGTGAGGTTAGTTAGGGCTTAATTGGGAATAAATTGATAAATTATGGTTTAATTAGGGTAATTCAAGGTTCGCCTTTGACTTTTAGACCTATTAGACCCCAGTAGAGGCTTCATAATCAAATATAGGGGATCTTTAAGATAGATTGTACCCAATTTAGATGGCTAGATGTGGGTTTCACCTACTATACCATCCACTGCAGTGGAGGATACATGCATTGTAGTTGATCGACATGATTTTTATTTATAAAATCTTTAACATAACAATGTTTGTGTAAGGAGAGGATGAGAGAACTCGAGGTTAGAATCTTTCCTCTACTAGAGCTTGTGAGTTTAAGCCATTTTAGTGTCTTTAAAAGCATAACTCTTGGGTTACTCCCTCTCTTATACTCTATCATGTTCTTCTTGCTTCTTTAGGTAGTGCTAGCCTGGATCTAAAAATGGTAGAGAGAGGTGCTAAGTTTTTGTCACACTTATGATTAATGGGAGCTTAGTTGAGTATCTTAAGATCGGTTTAAGCCACCAGCAAAGGTTTTGAGTGTTTATGTAACCCTCAAGTAATTTCCACTTGACATTACCCAATTACTCCACATAATCATAACTTAACTATTAATCAAGAGTATAAACATAATCCCTTTAAAATAGTTGGGATTCCAAAATCTTTTCAAAACCAATTTGGAAACATTCAAATTTAATATACAATGCATAACAGAAGCCAATGTGCTACACACATAGCCTTTAATGTAAGAAAACAGAACCAAATCATAATTTCAAAACAAGAGCTATGTGTCATGGCATGTGCTACATGTGCTGCGACATGTGGTACAAAGCCACAAGCTCCTCCTCTATGTCATACGCTGCAGTGCACATGACAATTTTTGTTGTTATATTATAGTTTATAGATGTGAACTTTCAACATGCATCGTTTTCACATACAATGTCCGATCAAAATAATTTAAGTGTTCACATGAAGCTTATACAATAAGCTTTTTGATAAGAAAGTTTGGATATAATCTAATGGTCTAATCTCAAATTGGACATTCGATGAAAAAGTTACTTTTCTTGAAAATTCAAGCATCTAAAGTATTCAAATCTCACACTTTATCTTATTAGACCACTTTAGGCTTAAAACCAAGTATAAAAGGATCAATTACACCTGATTGCATAATAATATCATCACAACCAAACATATACTCACATTTAGCTAATATATCATCCATTTTACATACAATAGGGCCTACCTTTGACAAATTCTTATTACATAACATTCTTGGCCAAATTCTCCATAATATTCACCACTTTTAAATACACATATTCATATATAACACAATCTCAGCCCACAAATCACATTTCACCATTTATTACACTTTATCACACCTATTAGGCTAAGATTCATAAAAATTATCACACATCACATCAAAAACATGCATATACATCCTATGGT